ATTCCTCAATGAAATCTTACAATGCTCCCCAATATATGAAAACTTGAAGCAGAGCTGTTACGGTCACAAAGGATGCAAGGATCTTAGAATCCTGTGACTTTTGAAGCTACTTCTTAGGATCCTGAGAAGCATAGTTAGGAAATCAGTGCTCCACAACAACACCTCTTAGTCTCGTTGGTGATGATATCACAACCACTCTGGAGAATAATTTAGCAATATCTCGTCAAGTTGGAATGCACACAACCCTGCAATTACAATTCTAGTTATATATCCTAGAGAAACTCTCATATATGTACACAAGGAAACGTGCAGTAATGTAGCTTTGTCTATGGTAGCAAAAAAACTGCAAACAAACCAAATGCCTATCAATGGGAGAATGGATAAAAACATTGCAGTATCATTGTCTAATGAAATATTATACAGGAGTATAAATGAATAAACTAGAGCTACATCTATGAATAGAAATGAATCTCACAGATATAATATTAAGTATAAAAAAGTTTCAGAGTACTTACACCAAAACCAAAGCAAACTCACTGCCGTTGAGTCAAACCCAACTCATAGCAACCCCTTCTTGGGTTTCTGAGGCAGTATCACTACGGAAGTAGATTGCCCAACCTTCCTTCCGAGGAATGGCTGGTGGGTTTGAACCGCCAGCCTTCTGGTTAGCAGTCAGATGCCTCAGTCCCTGCGCCACCAGAGTACATATAGTATGAAATAATTTTTATGAAATTTAAAAAGAGGGAGAACAATATTTTATTGCTTAGATTAATATATAATATAATATAAACATATTCATGGAAATGATAAACATGAAATTCAGAATAGTCTTTACCTCAGAGTGGAGGCTATATAATCAGGAGGGGTATATGGGAAGTTTTAAATACACAGATAACTTTTTTCTTATGCTAAGAGGAGATGCATGGGCATTTATCATATAATTTTTTATACCTTTTTTTCAGACCTTAAATATTTCATAGCACATAAGGTTTGAAAAAAACCAGAACGCTGCTCTAAAGTAATGGAGTCTCTGGTCTCTTGCCCTTCTATGAAGTAGTACTATTTCATTTATTTATTTGTCTGTTTGTTTGTTTGTTTGTTTAATTGTGATTTGGGTGAAAGTTTACAGAGCAAATTCACTTTCCATACTGCAGTTGACATACACTTTGTCTCATGGCATTGACCACAATTTACCCCAATGCAACAGCTCCCCTCCCACTTGTGATAGTTACCTCTTCCCTGTGTCCATCCCTCCATGCACTCCTTCCCCGTGAGCTGTCTCCCTGTCCATAAGCAGCCCTTCTTTCTCCCATGATTGTTCTCTCCAAGGAGTGTATCTACCTCAGATAAATGTTCAGAAGTAGTACTATTTGTTGAGAGCTGTAAATGATTGGGGCATATTTCAATAACAACTTTGCAGCTATATTAAAATAATAAGTATAAAAATAATTCCTAGATACATTTTTTTTCTTTTCTCCTGCATCCACAAAGTAACAGGTTCAAAAGGCATTAACAATACATAGCCCTGATACTGTTTTTGTTCAGCTGGGCTGATACATACAGTCAAATTGCCTTCTAAAAAGGCTTTGCCATTATAAGAAGATATTTGGTAAAAATTTCTAATTGGTTATTGCTCACCAGTTGCCATCAAGCTGGCCTCAACTCCGTAGAGTTTTCAACGGCTGATTATTTCGGAAGTAGACTGCAGGACTTTCTTCTGAAGCTCCTGAAGATGTACTTGAACTTCCAAACCTTTGGTTAGCCACCAAGTACATTAATCATTTGCACCACCCAGGGACTCCAATTGGCTATTGGTAGTACCTAGGGCATTGATTTATTTTTGTATTTTAATCTTGTACCTTACACTGGTTACTTGATGGGCTTTTAAAAAAAATTATGATAAAAACATGTAACATAAATTTACCATTCTAACCATGTTAAAGTGAACGATTCAGTGGCATTAAGTACATTCAAGATGTTGTATAACTATCCACACTATCTAGTTCCAGAACATTTTCATCACCCCAAACAGAAACTCCATTTGGTAAGCCTTAGAAAGCTGAAGATTTGTATCTTTCTTTAGTTCTGAGAAATTGTATCGTGTCATTTCTTTGACTATTTCCTTCCCCTCTATTCTCTTGGTTCATTCCTTCTGATACTTTTATAAGATGAATATTAAAAGTTCTTGATCTAGGCTTCATCCTTTTTAACATTTCCTTTGCCTTTTGAACTACGTTAGCTTGATCTTTTCATCTACTAGTCAGTTATTCAGTATTTTCTGATGTTCAAGGCAATCTATGGATGGTTTTATTGTAACAGTAATCTTTGTGTCATCTCCAAAGGTGCATTCTCACGTTCTCTTTCTGTCTCTGTCTCTCTCTCAATTTTTTTTTCTTGTAATGAACCTTTTACTTCAGATTGCTTTTAGATTTACAGAAAAATTATAAAGATAGTAGAGTTCTCATATATTTCACACTTAGTTTTCTCTTTTATTAATATATTGTATTAGAATGACATATTTGTCACAATTAATGAACCAATATTGATACATTATTATTAACTAAAGCCCATACTTTATTCCTGTTCCAGGATATCATACAAGGTACCATATTAATTTAGTTGTCACATCTCCTTAGGTTTCTCTTGGCTCTAACAGTTTCTCAGATTTCCTTGTTTTTTTGATGATCTTGATAGTTTTGAGGAGTACTGGCAGGTATTTTTTGTAGAATGTTCATCCCTTGGGATTTGTCTGATGTTGTTATCATAAGTAGACTGGAGTTATGGGTTTTGGGGAAGAAGACTACAGAGGTAAAGTGCCATTCTTATATCGTGTCAAGGCGCCATACTATTAACATGACATTACTGTTGTTAATCTTGATCATCTGGTTGAGATAGTATTTGTCAGGTTTTCCACTGTAAAGTTAACTCTTTTCTTCCCATTTCTATACTGTACTCTTTGGAAGAAGTCACTATGCACGATCCACACTTCAGGAGAGGGAAGTTATTTGGAATACTTCTGTATTCTACAAGGGAAGTTTGTCTATTCCCCCTATTTATTTGTTTCTTTGATGTTTGTTTATATCTGTATGGACTCATATGTATTTATTTTTTAATTGATTTTTAATCCAGTACAACTTTATTCATTTTGTTAATCCAGTCTTTCCATCTTTGGCCATTAGAAACTCTTTCAATTCCTGTGTCCTTTTGATGTATCTCAATCTATTTGTGTGTGTGTGTGTGTTTTGAGCATTTCCGTACTTTCTGGCACTGTAAGGTGTCCAGCTTCATTTTGTGTATTTCTTGCCCTAGTCTAGAATCAGGGTTTTCCAGGGAACCCTATTGTTTTTTGCTTTTGTTTTTCATGACATTCATAACATTCTTTCCTTTAGTTTATCTGCTGTGAAGATATTGATTCCAATTCTTTCAGAGCTTCCTTTCATTTGTTCTGTTAATCCTGATTCCTCAGGTGATACTAGTTACTGCATTTGTTGAATTTAGTCATAAACATAGTTTTCCCCAAATAGTGATTCTTATATATGTGCTTACATTTACATTTGAGAATTCTGTTCCTTTTTCTGTGGATACAGTTTTTGTTTTCTGTATCCTACTGTCAGTGATTGTGGACAAGGGGCAAGATGTGCATACTGTAGTCAGTAATTGGTGTGTGTGTGTGTGTGTGTGTGTTGTGTGTAGACATTATCCTGCCTGTTTAGCCAAATACCTATACTCATAGTAGTGTAGGGTTTGATGTGTCTGCTGCTTAATGTTTAGTTCAGTGGTGATGTAGGTACAGGAAAAGGCCAATCATTCCCTGCTACTTATACATCTATGTCCTTTAAGCTTGGGGTTCCTCATAGCTGCCCCCAAATTCACACTGGTTTCCTCCTTTGCCTTTTTCATTGTATAGTCATTGTTTTTTTTTTTCAGTCCATCTAATCTGATTTGCCTTCCATTTTTAGAGATTCCTAAAAAATTCTGACTGATGAATGTTCCTTTCTTGATTTCCATCACTTATTTAAAAATAAATAAACAAAAAATGAAACAAAACAGTAGATCAGGCAATCTACTTCTGTAGTGATATGGAAACCCAAGGAGGGGTCACTATGAATTGGATATGACCCCAGGGCAATGAGTTTTTCTAGGATTTTGGTAGGGAAGGAATGTAGATGTTTGTTCTCAGCCCGCCATCTTGATCTAATATCTCCACCCTGCATTTTAAAAATAAAAATATGAAAGAAGCTGGAAATAGGAGAGTGAGAAGAAATGTGTTTAAATATACCCATGTGGTAGACTCTCTTCACTGCCTACTCAGCAGATGTTTCCCCACCTTTCACCTGCCAATTGAACCTCAATTTTGTAGCAGATGGAGATCATTTGATATCAGGGAAACCAGGTCCAAACTCTGGCATCAGGGGATAAATATGATTGATCAAAACTAGTCATACTAATCCTGTTTCCCTTTATCAGTAATTGATTCAGGGGCGGGCAGGTAACTTTACTAAGGTCAATGAAATGGAAAGTCTTGGAGCAGGTATTCTGACGTCTTTTCCTCTTGGATAATAAAACAGAGTTTCAATCCTTTTTTCCTGTGAGCTGCAACAGCCATCTTGTGATCATGGGGTACAAACACTAAAAATGAATAAAGAACAATAGAAATAGGCTAGGTACTTAAATGAAATCACTGAAATCGCTGAGCTACTGAATGACTTCTGATTAAGTCAACAATAAAACCTTATGATTAAGTCACTGCTGTCTGATTTTCAGTTACTTTCAGCTGAAGGCATTCCTGTATACTGTATGAATGGATATAAAAATCTTTTTTTTCTAATAATATTCTGAAGTTTCTAGATTAAACTCTACTTCTCATTATAATGAACTATAATTTACTTTTTCTTGTCTTTATTCCTTTCTTCTTTTTTTTTCCAGAATTAAACACAGAGCCCAAACCTTCAATAAATATCTCTAAAACTACACTCACAGAGAGTATTGTTTTCAGAAAATCTGCAAAAGTGACTTTCAGTATGGATAAAACTGCAGAGAAACCAGTGCTAAACCAACCATGGAAGAAAAATCTTTTTGAAAGAGTGGAGGCAAAAGCCCAGGCAATGCAGAAGAAAATAATAGATAAAGATAATCTGAAGAAAGAACTAGAAAAAAAGACTGAGAAGAAACTCCCTAGGGATAAGTTGGCCGAAGAGTGGTTTGATACTGAAAATGCAACACTGAGTACTAAGGCATATTTGCTTGATAAACTTCTACCCACGTTAATTCCTGGAACGGAAAAAATGTTAATGCAAGTAGAAGAGAAGAAGCTTTTAGAAGAAGTTAATGCTCCAACCAAGTTTGATCCAGTTATTTTTCTAGGGGAATACTTAATGAGAAACAATCCTAATTATGTCAAATATGAAATGTCTGGTTATCAGAGGGTAATGAAAGATGTCACAGAAGATTTGAAGGTGCATGTTCCTGACACAATCTGCAACAGGTACAGTTTGTCATTGTGATGGTTACGGTTGTGGGTCAACTTGGCTGATCCATGAATCTCAGTGGTTTGGCAGTTATGCAGTGATGTAGTTTAGCAGTGATGCAGTGATGTAATTTGGCAGTTATGTAATTATGTACTCATCTTCCATGATATGTTCTGATATGATCAGCCAATAAGTTATAAGACGAGTTTCCTCAGGGGTATGACCTCCATTCAATATCTATACATGGATGTCTGACAAAGCTTTCTTACTTGCTCTGGACCCTGCATCCGGCCTATCATCATCTGGCCTCCATTTCTTGGGATACATCAGCCTCTGCAGTCTGTGAGCCGGCAGCCTGCTGTCTTATTTACCTATTTTGGATTTGTCAGCCACTGCAGCTGTGTAAGTCAGGAGAAGGCTCCAGCCTGATGCCTGACTCATGAACTTGGGACTTGCCAGCCTTTACAACTACATGTGCCATTTCTTTGAGATAAATCTCTCTCTCTCTCATATATATGTATATAATTTCACTGATTTTGCTTCTCTAGAGAACCTAGTCAAAGGCAGTCCTATTTTTCAACCTATGATTTATCTCCACCACTTGTCTGTCAGTTTGTTGTATGCAGAGTCACTATACCAAAAAGAATTGGTCACTGTTCACCTATTTCAGGAGGTGGCATATGATCAAGAATCAATGGTGATGAAGGAAGAAGTCGAAGCTGCACTGAAGGAATTGGCAAAGAGCAAGGCTCCAGGAGTTGACGAGATACCCATTGAGATGTTTCCACAAACAGTTGCTGAGCTGGAAGCACTTACTCATCTATGCCAAGAAATTTGGAAGACAGCTACCTGGCCAACTGACTGGAAGAGATTCATATTTGTACCCCTTCCAAAGAAAGGTGATCCACAGAATGTGGTAATTATCAAACAATATCATTAATGTCACATGCAAGTAAAATCTTGCTGAAGATAATTCAAAAATGGTTGCAGCAATATATTGACAGAGAACTTCCAGTAATGCAAGCTGGATTCAGAAGATGACATGGGATGAGGAATATCATTGCAATGTCAGATGGATATTGGCTGAGAGCAAAGAATACCAGAAGATGTTTATTTGTGTTTTATTGACAACACAAAATCATTCGACTGTGTGGATCATAACAAATTATGGATAACATTGAGAAGAATGAGAATTCCAGAACACTTAGTTGTGCTCATGAGGAATCTGTACATGGACCAGGAAGCTGTTGTTCAAATAGAACAAGGGGATACTGCATGGTTTAAAATCAGGAAGGGAGTGTGTCAGGTTTGTATCCTTTCACCATACTTATTCAATCTGTATGTTGAACAAATAGTGCAAGAAACTGGACTATATGAAGAACATAGCATCATGATTGGAGGAAGACTCATTAGCAACCTATGATATGCAGGCAGCACAACCTTGCTTGCTGAAAGTGAAGAAGACTTGAAGCACTTACTGATGAAGATTAAAGACTACAGTATGGACTACACCTCAACATCAAGAAAACGAAAATCCTCACAACTGAACCAATAAGTAGCATTATAATAAATAGAGAAAAGATTGATGCTGTCAAAGATTTCATATTGCTTGGTTCCACAATCAACACCAATGGAAGCAGCAGTCAAGAAGTACATCATATTGCACTGGGCAAGTCTGCCACTTTAAAGTGCTGAAGAGCAAAGATGTCTCTTTGAAGAACAAGGTGTGCCTAACCCAAGCCATGGTGTTTTTAATCGCCTCATACACATGTGAAAGCTAGACAATGAATAAGGAAGACCAAAGAAGACTTGCTGCTTTTGAGTTGTGGTGTTGACGAAGACTAATGAAAGTATCATGGACTGCTAAAATGAACAAGTCTGTCCTGGAGGAAGTGCATCTGGAATGCTCCTTGAAAGTGAGAATGGCCAGACTTCATCTCACCTACTTTGGTCTTTTTGTCAGAAGGGACCATTTCCTGGAGAAGGATATCATGCTGGTCAAGTGGAAGGTCAGTGAAAAAGGGAAACACCTTCAATGAGATGGACTGACACAGTGGCTGCAACTATGGGCTCAGCTATAGCAAGGATTGTGAGGCTGGCGCAGGACTGGGCAGCGTTTCGTTCTGTTGTACGTAGGGTTGCTGTGAGTCAGAGCTGACTTGATGGTACCTAACAACAACAGCAACATGATTTATCTCCTTACTTTGAAAAGGCAGGAGAATAATAACATAATCACACACAGAGAACTTAAAAGAAGTGATTTTATGTTTATTCAAAAATGCATTTATTGAGCTACTGCTATGAAGAACAATGAAGTATATTACATAAGTTCCTTGTATTTATGTTTTTTATTCTCTTACTAGGGCCTCAGGTATATATTTATCTGTTTATTTGCTATCTCCGTACTGGAAAGTAAGCTATATGAGAGCAGGGACTTTTATTATTATTATTTAATTTTCAGATAGGCAATATATTCACCTGGTTCAAAAGCCAAAATGTGTAGGAAGTTATACAGTGAAGAGTAACCTTCTCATTCTTGTCTTCCATATAGCCAGTACTCAGCCTCTGCTATAGGCAACTACATTCTTAGTTTTCTATAGGTCCTTCCCAGAGTTTCTGTATATATGGATAAAGAAATGCATATATAGATTCTTGGTTTTTCTACCTTTACACAAAAGCATGTGCAGTGTAGTAAATTACTTAGTATGGCTTTTCTACCCATAAGTCATTGTAAACTCTGGTGGAATGAGCAACTGAGAAGCTGATTGTAAATGTTATCCAAGTGGAGTATTTCTGTTGGGCGTGGCACAATATAATGTTCTGGGAGGTGCCCACTCTCTCTCAGGTACTTAGAGTTCTGATGCTATGATTGGCTAGTTTGACCACCCTGCAGGGCTCAAAAGGAGGCCTCCTAGAGGCAGAACTCTCTCTCTGACTGCTGGTTGAGGAAGACGTGCTGCTGAAAGAGACACGCGCCCCTGAAAGAGACAGGCGTTGCTGGGAAAGAGACGCAAGAGACACGCATTGCTGAGTGAGATACCGAGGGACCAGTGCTGCTGGGAAAGAGACTGTGAGAGACTGTTGGCCGAGGGACGGTGGGCTGGGAGAGAGACTGAGCATTTTTCTTGAACTTGAGCTGTAGCTTGGTGCTTCCCTAATAAACCCCATAATCTGTGAGTTCTGTGTGGCCACTGCAGTGAATTATCGAACCCAGGAGAGAGGTGGTGGGTGCCTTGGGAGGAACGGTTGGTGAAAGGGCTGGAGGGAGGCAGCATGTCTGGCCTTGCACTAATAGGCCTTGGGTTACTGCTGGTAATCCTGCCTTCCCCTTGTAGGGTTAGAGGAGGTCAGAACATGTGGCCTCCGTGTCGTTTTTGCAGCATGTAATGTAAGTTACAAATATTTCCCCATTTCTCACATGCCATTTATTTATATTTTGTCATGCAGAAGATTTTTTATTTCTATATACTCAGATTTATTAACTTTTATGGCTTCTGGACTTTGAATCATTGTTACACTTTAAGATTTTACAAGAATTCTCCCATGTTTTTTCCTTGACTTTTTATAGTTCTAATTTTCTTTGAAAATAATGATCCATTTGACATTTATCTTAGTGTAAGATATAATGTATGGATTATCATTTTCAGTTGAAACAGTGCATCTCAGAGTGTGGTTGCCAACAAATGGCATCATGCTCACCTGGGGTGTTTGGTTAAAAGGACAGATTTCTAGGTTTTTCCTCAGATCTTCATAATCAGAATCTCTAGGAATGCATTTAAAATGAGTTCCACAGGAAGCTCTTATGTACATTAAAGGTTCAAATGAATCATTTAGAGAAACTAAATTAGTGGACTTTTAGTACTGGTGGAATGTGCTGAGAGCATGCATGGAGCAGAATCATTAAATTTAATAAATAGCGTCAAGAACATTTCCTCTCACCATCTGTTCTTGCAAAGCAATAAATTAGATTTATATTTAGATCTATTTCCATAAAGAATACTTAAAATTTGGGAACTGGTTACAAGGCTGTTAACTGATAAATTGACAAACCCTTCCTCCTGTTTACGGATATGTAAATCTCAATTAGTACATTAAACTCAAGACATTTATCAATATCAATAATAAGAATAGTAATGGGCATACCAGGGTTCTGGTCTAGATTCTGTTGCCAATTAATGACATGACACAAGACATTTCCTGAATTGAGAGTTTGAGGGTCATTTGAGGCTTGATAAGAGTTCTGTTATCAAGCAACACCGCTATAAAAAGTCCATGAATGAGTTAAAGGAATGAAAGATGCTTTTTTTTCCTGCCTTGGTCTGAATTGTTAGGATTTGGATTTCTTCTCTATCTGGCCAAAATCCAAGATCTCTGTGTTAACAAATGGTAGTCACTATAGGCAATTTGTAGCATATTCAGAAATCCTAGGGATGCTTTACAACAGCTCCTGATGCCTTTTGATGTAAAGCTTGGATAAGCAGCTATCTTAGTAAAAAATACTTCTGCTTTTAAATTTTCTGACTAAATCATTGTTTGTGTCATTCTGAATTCATTAGAGAGTGTTGGAGACTCTGCAGGTAGTCCTCAACTTACAACAGAGTTCTGTTCCAACAACTTCATTGTAAGTCAGTTCTGACATAAGTAGAATACGTTATTTATTTATTTTTTTTAGTTTTCATTATTATCACCTTTTATTATCAATATCTCTATAAACCCAATCTTTATTTGCCTTTGGGTTGGGAAACATTACATAAAAACTTACAGATATATTTTTTAACATTGTATATAGTACATATTACTGTATTTTTACTCAAATAACATGAGCCTTCCACGTTTGCCAACCACTCCCTCCCCCCACCAGGTATTTTCATAAGTGCTGTGCTGATTTTTTTGCATCAGGGCTCCTGAAAGATACCTGAAAAAATCAAAGTGGACTTTGATTTTTACATATAATTTTGCAAAACTGTGAAGTAGGTTAGATTGTGTAATACTGCTTTACTTCCTATTTTCTTTTCTC